CATCCCGTCGAGGATCTGCGCGTGCAGCCAAAGCTGCAGCCACGGGATCAGGGCGGGCAGGAGAAGCCGCTCGTAGTAGCCGAGATCGAGCAGGACGAGGTGGGGGACGCGCTGGAGGCTGCGCGAGGCGAGGCCGCGCGTGATCGCCGCGGCGACCTCCCGCAAGGCGGCCTCGCGGGCCCCAGGCGGCGCGTCCGTCCCGGGTTCCCCGGGCGAAACCCCCGACGACGTCGCGGGGAGTTTGAGGGAAAGCTGCACGTCCTCGCAGGCGCGCCCGCGCTGCGCGAAAAAGATGGCGTCGAGGAGGTGGATCGGGAGGAGCCAGCGATGCGAGCCGAGGTCGATCGGGTGCTTCGGGCCGATCGGAAAGTTCAGCTCCGAGCGCAGCGGGTGCAGCAGGACGTCGACCTCGTCCATAATCAGAACGCCGCGCTTCCAGAGCTCCAGAATGGGGGCGATGGCGTCCGCCATATCAGAGCGCGCGATCACCTGCCGGCGCACCGTCATCGCGTGCCGCCCGTATCGCTCGTCGACGGCGTACTCCTGATCGAGATCCGTCGTCGCGACCGTTTCCACCATATGCAGCTGCTCGACGTATTTGAGAAACAACGATTTGATGCACTCCGGGGCCGCGATCACGACCGAGCGATCCTCCTCGGCGGATTTGAGCTTCTGATACAGCAGCTCGACCGCCTCGACGCCGCCCCTGCCGGCCTCGCCGGCGGCCTGCCCGTCGAAGTTGCGATCAAACCGCAAGGTGTAGATGTGTTTCATCATCACGACGCTAAAACAGCGGCGAAGAATACTGCGCGTTTGCTCCAGCAGCGCGGTGGGCATCACCTGCATCACCAGCTGCGCGCCGTCGGCGAGGAGGAGCGCGAGCAAAGGGCCGACCACCGTCGTCTTCCCCTCCCCCATGATCATCTGCTCGACGCGGGAAACCCCCCGCGCGACATCCGCGGCGAAGCACCGCACCATCCCCACCTGCCGTTCCCGTAACATGATGTTAAACATAAACTCAAAGAGCAGAAACCGCGGATCGAGCGCGAAGACCAACGGCTCCGACCCTTCCCCGGGTGAAACGAGCTCCGCGTAGTGGCGTTTCACCGTCAAAATATCCAACGCCGCGCGCAACAGCTGCTGAAGACGGCCTTTGAGCAGGTGCAGATCCTTCGCACGGAGTGGCTGCGCGGCGCCCGTGGGGTGGGCTGCCAGGTCTTGATACCAAGCCAGCGCCTCGGGCTCGAGCTCGAGGGAAAGGCGCTGGGCGAGCTCCGCGACGCGCGCCCGTCGGGCCTCGCGCGGCCTCGATCCGCTCGCGGGGTCGGGCGCGTCGGGGGTCAACGGGATCCCCCGCACGAGGGCGCACCACTCCAAGAACAACCCGACATTCCGCACCGCGAGCACGCCCTGCTCGGCGAAGTAGCGGCGGCTGCTCAGGAGCATCAGGAGGACGAGCCGCGATTGCAGGAGGGGGAGGGCGCCGTGGAAGGGATTCACGCGGCGGAGCTCCTCGTCCATCGCGGTGCTGAGGAGGGCGCCGCAGAGCCACTCCATCGGGGGGGGGACCCGATCCCGTGCGAAGAGGCGCAGGCGATGCTCCACCAACGCCCTCGCGGCCGCCGGGAGCGGCGACGAAGGCGTGGATAACGCGGAGGGAGGGGGGGAGGAAGGCGAGGGAAAGGGGGCGGAAGGCGAGCGCGAGGGCGAGGGCGCGAGCAAGGCGGATTCCCCTCCGCGAAAAGGCGCGTGTGCGAGCGAGAGAATCGACTCGGCGAGGTCGCTCACCGCCTCGCCATCGCGGGCGGCTAACTCGAGCAGCCGCGGGACGCACCCCTCCCGCAACG